AAGCGTGTCCCCTGCCTTCTCCACACCCGCGGGGGTTTCGCGCGGTGACGGGGTTAAAATCCGCATTTCGCTTGCTGGAACCGTCAGGCGCTGCCAAAAAACAGGAATTTTCAGTTCTGCTGGCTCTGGTAGCGCGGTGTTCTGCGGTTCGCTCTTAGCATCGACCAGTTGACCCGAAGGTCGCTCCTCCGAGCTGTCGGCTCCTACAACGGCAGCAGCTTCAGGCACGGAGGCACCTTTGCATACTCGGTGTATTTCCCAAAGGGATGCTGGAATCCAACCTTCAGCAGCCTTTACAGATGAGAAAATGAGGGGCCATCAGCTCAGCAGCTGCTGTTTGTAGGCACCCCTGGTTGCCACTGCCATTGGTTACAGGAGCAGCAGCCTTAGCAGAGCGGTGAGGTATGAACTGGGCGGGTTTTAGCAGCTGCAGGGGCAGAGCTGCACCTGCTGGCTTTTGGTTTGGCTTTTTTTTCTGAAAAGACATCTGTCGTTTGGATTCACGTTTAGAGGCATAGGGCAGAGACCCCGTTCATCCAATGCGCGCCCCCATCTTCAGGAGATTGTACGGATTTTGAAACGGAATGCCGGCGCTGTTGGGAAAACGGTTGTAATGTACTCTTCCCAATGCAAGTTAGTAATTGACATATCATGGAGTGAGTTTGTCATTACTTACAGCTCAAGTGAAGCCCTGGGTGCAGGAGTTATCCCTTAATTTGAAAGGAGCGGAGGAGCTTGGCTCTGGAGTGATGCCGAATTTGTGGAGCTTGAGTGTGTTTTCTGATTTTAGTATTTTAAGCATGCGGTGAATGTTGTGATTTCTCAGAGGTGGTGTATCAAGAAACACTAGATGGAATTTTATTTTTCCTAAGGCAGATGGGCTGCATGTCATGATACTTTCATTGTGTAAGATGATGTAAGAGGTAGTGAGGATGCAGCAGTTGTGCCCAACGTGTGCGAAGTCTTTCCTTGCAGAAAGTTTGGCTACAGTGTAAAGAATGAAAATGCAGAGGAATAAAAAAAACCGAAGACGGTTTCTTCGTAGAATTCCCCTTCTGTCATGTACACAATAAAATACAGTGTCAATTTTTAGGCTAATTAATACTCTGCTCTTCTTGATAAATGGTGTGTTTTCATCTAGTGCTCCTTCAGATTTTTCATTAGTACATTTTACTTCTTAATAGACTGCCTTCCAAACTAAAAAACAATCTAAAAAGTTAGATGATGTAAGGAAGAACATGCTGGTTACTGTACGTTGTTCATATTCTTATTTAAGTCCTAAAAGAAGGATGAAGTCCTGTTTGCCCTATTAATTCCTAGCTTGGAAGTTGCAATTTTAAAAAGCCATTTATCCTGCATACATATAAATAACAGGGGGTTCTCCAGCTGCACATGACACAAGACAACTCTTTTTTTTTTTAAATACCTTGTGTGATTGTATTAAAACACATTTTCAAATTGAAAACATGAAAATAAGTCATGTTTTAATGGCTTTTCACGAAGTCATAGATATATTTTATTAAATAGCGTATTCAAACTTCTGTATGTACAAACCTATCACTAATACCAAGTAAGAGGATTGAACTCTACCGTGACAGCACTTGCACGTGCCTTCTGCTTTCAGACTTCCCAACCAAGCAAAAATGTTGCAAAAGATTTTTAATCTGTCCAATAGGAAGTGGTGTTGATTTAACAAGACAGCAAGAGTCACAAGTTCTTGTGAAGTTATTTGCATGTACTGAGAGCAACTGAAATCACCTGGAGACGTCATCTTGGATTCAAACTAGTTTCTGTTTTATCACTAAGGGCATTCTTGATGTGATTACTCAAAGAGGTTTCGTTCTCTGGCTCTGTTTCTGTTGCTGTCTTCTCTCTTTAGCTTCCCACAGCATCCCTAATGTCCAGCTTCTTAAACTGTGCACTTCATCTCTTTTTTTTCATGCAAAGTTAAGTTGTCTGCTTAATTCAGGTGGGATTACCATTGTGTCTAAGGCAAACAGGATTCAGCGGTAAGGGCAAGACAGAATTTATAAATGCTTTTTGGAAATAGACCACATGTACGCTCAGTGTCAAAGTTTCTGAACTGCAGTAGTAGGTAGGTCAGACCTGAAACATGCAAGGACCTTTAGTTATGCTGCGTAGTAGTTATTTAGTTCATTTTAAAAAGTGTTTTTGCCATCTCCATCTTTTAGAACAGGGATAACGGATGAACAGAAAGATCACAGATGTCACAAATTAGAAACAAACCCTCTCTTTTATTGACTTTTATACTGTTACACAATCAAAAAGAAATACAGTCACAAGTATGTCAAAATGTTTCAAGAGAAATATCAATTTCAATACATTGTACTTGGTTCCAAAAAAGAATTCCATTAAAATATACCACTTCTTCATGAGAGAATACTGCTATTATTCACAAAATCTACCATACTGTATAAATCCAGCAGCAAACTCTTTAACTTTTTGGTAACTCAGCAAGCCTTGCTCAAGGTAAACAGGGAAGCAGAAGGAAAATGACAACTCATTTCTAGAATTTGGATCAAAAATCACAATTCTCCGGAACGGAGCTCTCCAGAGAGTCAAGTGCCCAATTGCTAATGGTATTTTTTAATGAAAGCTGGATACCCAACTCACATGAATTCCTATGAAAATGGTCTTCCTACAGAGTACTCCTGGCCTGTGAAGTGTTTATTTTCACACTGGACACTCACAGTTTAAATAATGTGCGTTAAGTGCGGTCACATTGGAGTGAGGTGTGCGTGCTGTTCAGCGGCTGCTGATCAGCAGGGACGGGAGCAGATGGTGGACCTCGAGCACATCCAACATGGTTAATGGTGGCAGGGTACTTGGCTTCCAGCTTCCACAGCACCGTTTGGTACAGGGAACGGTTTATTCAGCGGTGTAACGGGGGAGGGAAAGCTTGCCAGCAGAGACTGGTGAAACAGCCCACATTTCTGCCTTCAGCTACCATTATTTAGCAGTTTAATTAAATGGCTTTTTAAATAATGAACAATTACTATTATATATGTGGTAGTTTAGCCTGTAATCATCAGACTTTTGATCCTACAGCTGTATTTCATTGGAAGTAGAGCTGATCAAGTCATCAGAAATAAGCATTGAAGTCTTTAAATTGCCACCTGTGTTATGTGTAAAGTTTTAATTGTTCTTTCTGGCCTTAATCTGTGATTCTTTATTTCACTAGTTACTTAGAGAAAGTTTAGTGTGTGTACACAGGCACACAGGAAAGGAAACTTAATAGTAAATTGTTTCTGTTTCACCCAAAAGTTTTCAGAGGTCAGTATAGTCCAAGCCTACCTGGGAGAAAGGTATGCTAGAAAGGTGTACTTTGGACTCCAGGCTACCTTAATTTACACAGTAATTACACCTGAGATCAAGTTACTGGACAGCACCCTTAAGTGACTTCTTGGGAGCTACAGCTGTAGTTAATTATAACTTTCAGGTAAAGGAATGAATGATATTATAAATACTAGTTTAAAAATTCCTTTATCTTTTAACAAAACAGTGTTGTTGATAAAGACTTCAGTTAGAATCTGTACGTAAAAATAATAATTGCGCCATGCCATGAAGAAGGCATGGCTGGACTGCTGCTGTAGCCATGATAACCTTCTGGAAGCTACCTTTGTTCTCCTCAGTTTATCATTTCCACAGAATCTAGCATATTTCATATGCAGAAGGAAATGCTGTAACTATCTACAGCTTCTTTACTGCTGGCAAAGAATAAATGCTCTAAAATGTAGTGACTTAACATTTTTAAAAGGTAGCAAGTCAGCAAAGAAATTATTTTAAATCACTAAGAAAACATTTAGAAAGCGAAGTATTGTAAAAGCTTGTCCTCCAAAGTAGGTTTAGAATCAGGCTGTGTAGTCCTATAGTCTAAGCCAAAACAAACAAACAAAAAAACATAAAAAACAAAACAGCTAAAAGGTGCACATTTAGATTTTGCAAACTCACATCTGCATTTAGCAAAGCTCTTACAAGGTCAGGGCAATTACTGCTGGTTTTCCAGGCTCTCTTCAGTGCCTCTAGGAGGTTTTCTGGGGTTTTTTGATTTTCTTCCTAAAGTAAACCAATATGGCTACTCCAGTTCATGCCATTACTTGCTTGTTTCATTCACTTTTACCAGCACAGTAAACAAAATGCAATGCTTTGTTATTATGTATAGTAAGAAATGTGAGAATTGGGAAGATTCTTAGATGAAACATGGCTCATTTAAATCTACAGCTGTGGTCATGAAGACCAGAGATGATCCCAGCGGGCTCATAACCATAAATCACATGAAAAGGAGGTCACTGAAAAGGAGGATGAAGACTTAACATGGATTTTTCTTTACAAAAATTTACTGCCCTCTTAAGTTACACTGAAGAGCAACTGACCCATCCAAACAGGTCAGACTCCTCCAAAGGAGGTCAGCAGGGCAACAGAACATCAAGCAGGACGGTAGGAAGCATCTCTTGGGAGATGAAGAGGGAAAACCCACCAGGCCAGCTCAAAGCTTGCCAGGGCAGGAAGAAAAGCAGAACCCACTAGTACCTTTCACATCTGCAAGACTCCTCACAGCAGCATGACGTCAGTCCCTGCAGAGCTAAGCCGAAGGGATGACCCTAACAGCTGGTACTTTACCTAAGCCTTTAGCAGCTCCGCTGTTAAACCTTGTAACTGCTGACAGAGCTGCTACGGGAAGAACGCCACCCAAGAGACTGCACGCAGCAGGTAGGCGGTAGCGCTGCAGAGCTATCCACAGAACGTGGTAAGCTTTGTACACTTAAAGGCTGTGTCAAAAATCTTTACTATTCTGTAGCAGGTGTATATATTAAAAAATGTTCTCTGCGCAAAGCTTCAACTCTAGCTCAGTGCATCTACATGCTTTCTCCTCTCTTTGTGCAACTTCTACTCAAATTTTAAGAACTATGCCTCTGTCTTCTGGTGCCAGTGCTTTTTCTTTTTCCATTGGTAGCTAAGTGTCTCTATTTTGTTTAATACAGTTGTGCCAGTTTGAAAAGTGCTCATTTCCATGAACCAGTAACAGTAATTTTAGAAAACAGGTTAAACTTACATACCATTATATTGGTTTCAAGAGTCCAATGAAACCAAAGTTTCCAAAATAAAACCAAAGTAATTCTTGTGACATTCCATATTTGAGTTCTTACATTAATTTTCTTTTAAAGTAGTTTGAAGAATGCACAGACTATCTTGTCTGTATTTACACATTACAAGGTTGTATCGGTAGCATTGTGGTTTATGACAGCAAAAGGAAAAGTCACCTAGTCAAAGTTACTGAGTCAACAGCACGAGAGTATAGAACAAGCTTTATCATCAAGTACCAGCTTCAGTTTTTGATCATGCAGTTCTGTGATAAAAATCCATCTTTAATTGATCAGCCCTGTGAGTTTTACTTTTTCCTGCTTTCCGGTGTTACCTTGATAAAGCTTCCAGAGACGAGCTTTTAAGCTGTTCATAACAAAGAATCTTTCCACTCTAAAGTAACACAAACACGCTGTCTCCTCACTTTCAAGTTTGCTAACTGGTGTGATAACAGATTTAAAGGTTTAACATCTTTGGCGAGCGGTAGTACAACACTGTTTAGGAGACTTCAGTACTGAATAGGCTCAAATCATTAACGCGGAGATGTTACAATCAAAATAAGGAAGCAGTGATTTCGAATCAACTCTAAATTAAAAAGGGAACACGGATGAACAATAACCACTAACAAAAATATAAATTATCTCATTTCTCTCAGATAACACACTCCCCAAGGGGGCCTGGTCCACATATAGTTTATTGATGTAAGAAAACAATACAGTTAGTGTTAGATCCAACCACAAAGAGCAAAAGAATGAGTGAATGAAGGTTTTGTACAGTACATATAGGAAAATAAGATGTCTGTGACAACTATATATTTCTAAATAAAAAGGCTTCTAAATATATTCAAGTTACTGAAATCTACATGATGTTAATAGCAACAAGGTGCGTAAAACCAAAACATCAAAATATTGAGCAACTCAATGATGTACTAGAGAAAACTTTGCTAACAATGCAAGATGTTTTACAATCTGCTTGAAATATCACCTATACCACACAGGGTAAGCCGAACATTTAGATTTAAGATCATACACAATATTAGCATTAACTTCAACAACTACAGGCAGGGATATTTCTTTTTTTAAGCTGGCAAAGTGACTACTTTAAGAACATCAAACTCTCTCTAAATTGAGAACGTATCCAAATAAGATGCTGCTAGCCCTTTCCAGATAAAGCCTTTCCTTTGACTAACCACACTCATTTAAGTCAAAAGCATAAGACAGCATTTAAGAACAATTTATATTACAACGTGACTAAAATAATGACATAATCCAGGTTTAAACATGATTTCGTAGGCAGACGAAAGAAGATTCTTCTTAAAAACTATTTTTTATAAATGAAGGATATATTGCATGAGGAACTGCTGGTATTTTTTAAGAAAATATATTGTGCGATTGTGGCTACCAATGCACTGCTGCAAAGCATTGTTGTTTCTTATAAAAACTATTAAAATAAAAAAAGTATTTGAACATAAAGAGTAAGAGAGCACAAGTCTTCCAACTACCTATGAAGAGCAGGGTGGAAGTATTGCCAGTTTTTCCTGTGTTGACATTTTACGAATGGTAAGGTTTGGTGACTAACTCCCCAGCCAAAAAATAAATATTTTTTTTTTTAAATCAGGTGCATATTTCAAAGCTGCTATTGCAAGGGTGCTTTAAATGTAATGGACATAAAAGTGTATGTACCAAAGAATTATAAAAATGCACTATAGTCTGAGTTATTGTTACATAAAGAACATATTAAAAAGACTGTCAAAATAAGTAGAAAGGGGATCAAAACTGAACTAACTGAATTAGTGCAGTACTGTAGCCAGGCTTCTAAAATCAGATATAGAAAATATAAATAGACTGCTTTAGGTGATGATTCACCAGTGTCCAAAAAAGGAACAAGTATTGTGAAAGCTCAGTTAACTTGATCCAGAGCTCTGAGCAGTTCTTCACCCTGTAGCAGGTTTCTGTTGCCTTGTATGGGAGCATTTACTTCGCAGTCATAACTCGTGAGTTGGGGTAGTCCACTTTCGTCCATCGACTGCCCTAGAAGTTTACTTGCTATGTCTGAGGGAGGGGAAGGAAAAAAAGTGTACTTTATTCACCATGCTTCACCTTTCCTCCAAAATTGCTCATGAAGGAGGTAAGTTTAGATGTTTTTGTCACTCATTTTTATTTCACGCAGCCCCCATCCACAATCCTTCACATATTAAAAAAGCCAGTACTAACCAGTTGATAGTAGAATGATTGTCTTTTGCTCCCCTCCGTTATGACCATTTGTTTTACATCCCCTCACACGTTTCCAGGCAAGTGATGCATTTCCTCCACGGCCACCTGTCTGCTGGAATAGAGACCCCTAGAAAGAAATAAAATAAATCTTCTTTATTGAATACTATATCTGTCTAAGCCTCCACATCCCTCTTCCAAACTAGCAGTTCCTGTCACTTGTTACTAATGTAGGCATTGTTACAATTTAAAGTGGACTTCATTCAGAACTTGGGGAAAACATATTTCCAAGTGCACTGGCCTTGAAAATTATTTCAAAGAAAATGGAATCAATCAGATTGAGACCTTACTTCCCTTACAGAAAACAATTACTAAATGCTGGTTGTCATCAGTTACCATGCTCAAGATTAGCATGAACGCGTACACGTACACACCCATTTAATTACCACTGCTCTCAAGTGAGTAAGCATCAGGTTTTCACTGAAGTCTCTAATGGCTTTCTGCACTGGAATTAATAGTGTAAACAGGAGATTCAGGAACCTCGGTAGGTGGATTCTATCGAAATTTAAGATGCAAATTCTGCTTGCACTCCAGTTATTGCCACCAAGCCACCTGACCCAAGTCTAGTGTGGAATGCTGTCCCAAGCCATTCTACTGCAGATACGGCTCCTTAGCATATTGTTTTGACAGCAGCATAGAAGATACAGAGATTAGAAAGCTTTGAAGGGCTCCATATAATTAGAATAAGTAAGAAGCTGCCACTGAAACAGATGGGATGGAAGGAAAAAACGCCATCTTAGTGACAAGTTTGCTAGCAAAAGTAGCTGAATCTGCCAAGTTTTGTCTTGTTAGTAGTACTGACTGCTGCAAAAAGAGGAAAAGGCATTTCAGAAGGCTGCTATTATCCTGAACATTTAAAATAGTAGAGAACATACATTTTCAGGTTATAAAACATCCATGCAAGTCAAAGGGACAGCTGTATAATAGAAGTTATAGTTAAACAACTTGGACGTTGAAGCTGCATTTCATAGTAAGGTCAGTCACCTACATGGTTGCTGTGGGTTTTTTTGTTTTGGTTTGGTTTTTTTGTTTTGTTTTGGTTTTTTTAAACCATGAATGAAATACAGCCCTTCATATTACGAAAGATACAGCTCATATCTTTTTCAGTGTAATGATTTGGAATACCATTTCATAATCTTGCTGTAACACATCTTGCCTTTGTCTCATTCTCCCATGTTCTAGAAAACTAAAGTAGTATTTTACTTTTGTCTTCATTTATTTTCATTCTTTGCAAAACAAGTCCCGCTTCCTTGCGGCTAAGAAGTTGTGGCAAGTTTTTGCACAATCCCAGAACACTACGTATTATAAGCCTGGATTTAACATCAGTTTTCTTCTGTGTGTGTGCAAGGCCCAAATCATCCACTCAGAAATCCATTGTGGAGAAAGCAGCCAAACAACAGAAGCACTCGCTTGAAATCATGTCAGTAAGACCCACGTCACTAAGACTACATGGAAAATTCAGCTTCTGACTATGCAGAAACCATCAAAACATCTGTAACACGTTTGTCAGACAGAGAAAAGACAAAGGTTTATCAAAGGATGAAGTTTGAACCCATAAGCATTAAAAAGGCGCTAAGCGTAGAAGCCTGAACTCTATTACAGCAGTTAATAGAGGACTGCTTGTGTTCTGTGTATTTAATGACATCCCATGCTATTCTGAGTATTTTCTCAGCAACACTATATGACTGCTTTAGCACCATCGCATGAGAAAGAGTCAACGAGAGACAATAAAATTTCTTGCAGAGCTGTGAATTCTTACAGGGCTACTGGAAGCAACAGAACAACGTGTATGAAAGTGCAAAGCATTTAGCAAATTAAAACAATGGCATCAGAAAGATTTTTTTTTTTTTTTAAATAAAACATGCTTCCCTCAGGAAAAAAAATGGACACATAACAACTTTCTCAGCTCTTGTAGGGGAGAGCAATGATAAAGACAGTATACAGCGGTTTGTCTCATGCCCAAACCAGAATGCTAATACAGGAATAATTTATAGTCCAGAAGAAAAATAATCCTGCACTGCAAGGCATGATGGATGACTACACCTAGGAGATGCACCACCAGAGAAACAAAGAATCTTAAAGTCTACACTGCAGTAGAGGAACTAAGAATTAACTGTGCAAAAATTTAAAAGAAGTGGGAATTTGCCATGAAGGCAAGAAGAGAGATAACGGTATGTAATGGCAAAGCTCAAGGTTTCAGGATATTAAGAACTGACAGCAGGAGACAAGATCGTGGAGACAAATTACCCTTCATAAAACAACAAGCTGGACAGCCCCAGTCAAGTGACACAAATCTAAGAATACCTAGAAAGTTTCTTTTGAATAGCTAAGACAGATGATAAGCTACTCGCAATCGCACACACTAGTACTAGAGAGAACGAGCATGAAATGAAATTCAGAAACATTTGCTAGGTTCTATGAATTCTGTTCCCTTATGGTTCAGATGGTCTTGTTATCTGACGAAATAATGGAATCTCAGACTCAATGGAAAAATGACAGCATGGAAAGGAGCATAAGAACACCATCTCTAGTATTGACAAATATGAAAATTGAGTTTAAACTAAAATGTGAAATAAATATGGCAATTATAAATTTAGATGTGATGTCTTACATTTGTGCATATTCTACCGAAGAACATATATGTTCACAAAAGAGCATCTTCTCCCTAATCAAGAAATGTGCTTGGGTATAGAGAGCACTTTTGAAACAGCTGATAGTAAAAGAGAACTAAAATCAGAGTACCTACATATACGTGGGAATTTCACTATAAAACAATTATCTCTGGTCCTAAGATTCTACTGTGTACCAACAGCTAAACTCAGGAGTCTGCACTGATGCCTCATTTCAGAAATTGCAAGGTTAAAAGTGAATATTTTAAAATGGTAAAACAAAACTCACAATTCCAACTGCCTGAAAAAGTGAACCATCATGTTCCATTTTTCGTTTTCTCTGAGCATTATGCAAAGCTAGCATCTTTGGATTTAGTTCTTCATCCATTGCAGTAGATCTAAGAAAAATTGATTCAGGCTGTTAAGACGTTTCTACTACCCTCAAGCCATTCTTCTTTTGTGGACACTTATAGACAATATCATAGAACTGAATTTATGAACTATACTACTTTTCTTTCATAATTGACTCATTTCAACCATCATTGTCTACGAGCATAGCAAATGTTAGCTTTTAATTTTGCTGTGAAGCTCAGAATGAGTTATAACAAAAATTTTAAAGTCTTTGCAGAAAAAAAAACAAAGCATAAAAAGTTCAGCAATTCACTTTTAACAGAAAGAAGGGAGGGAAAGGTGAGAAAAAGTCTATTCTGAATATTTGTATGTACAGATAAAGCTTCTATGTATCAAAGGTCTGACATCTGAATTTGTAGGATTCTTCTATCGTGATAAATATCTGCTACAAATGGCACAGTACATCATTATGAAATATGGCTTGCTTTAAAAGCGATAATGTAGCACACAGACTGCGGTCACCTCTTACCTCATAACGAAGTGGACAAGAAAAGCACCAGAAATATTGTGTGTGTACAACTACTTGTAAATTGCCTGCTGCATTCTTTTAAAAAGGCCACATGTCAGATACAAGAGCAGTACAAAATTATGAACACAGTTTGCATATAGTAGCTGCCTACTACACAAGATGTTTATGTAAAAGGTACCACGAAATTTACTTTGGGGAAGTTTACCATGCAAAAAAACCAAACTTGTCTGAAATGTCCAAATGTAAATCCATCAATTTCTACTTTGAAGTAGAATGGCAAAGACAACATACAACAGTTGTCAGTATTTAAATATGTATTATATCTAATTTCTTGAACAGATACTAGGGCTTAAGCTCCGCTTTTAAAATACCTTTTGTTCAGAGTGACTGTTAGCAAACTGGGCACTCCTGGAGAAGATTTTTTCGTCTGATCCAATGTTCCTTTTCCTGTTCTGATCGGAGAAGCAGTTCGACTCCTGTTCCCACCATAAGGTGATGCTGGGGCACTACTCGTTTCACTGATTATGTGGACAGGAGATGAAGGAACAATTAGCGTCTTCACATCATCCACGCGTTCTACCACGGGTTTTGTTTCATCAGCAGTACTTGACGGTGTCTGAATCTGCTGAAATATGGTAATGGTAGCTGTATTTTGAGAGCCAGAAGAACTGCTTTCCAGCGGAGATAGCTGATCAAAGGAGCGCAACTGGAAGTCATCATCCATTGGGATGTAAGGAGCCAACATCTCCAAGTCTAAATCAGTTTCCTGGAAAAGACAAGAGGTAAAAATTATACATACTAAGAAAATCTTAGCTATGACTTTGTAGCTTCATTAAGGCTCTTCCTTTTACCAAATCCTCACAATTTTTTTTTCCAACTTATTTTAATAAAAATATTACATAAGAGGAAGGAGGTTCCTGAAGACTTGCTAAGAGAAACAGAAGCACATTGAGAATACGTACTAAGATGATACAGAATTTTAAGTTAATGTACATTACCTGAGCAGAGAATGGATTTTTTGCTTCTGTATCTATTGCAAAGAGTTTCTCCACTAATTCCAGTTTGAATTCATTAGCCATATCATTATCCACATCATAGCAGTAGTCGTTGGGACTACTGGGCTGTGAAAACATTTTGAGCGCAGTTTTAAGTTTCTGACATTACATCATTTTCCACTGTATCTACAGATTCTCTAAAAAATGTTCTAATGTAAAAACTAATTCCAAGCTATAGTTGCACAATATTGAAATGGGAAAGGAAAACACTTGCATTTATCAATACACATTCAAATTTACCCCACCTGTGAAGCACATGATTAGCTGGAACTTCCAAGTAGCCTCTATAGTAATTTATTGCAACTAATATGCTGTTTAAGGAAGTTGTCTCTGAACCATTCTTTTACAGAAAGACCAATCCCAAGCTCTTCTTATTTCTATTAGGTGGTATTGCATGCATTTGCAAGACTTTAAGGAAAAGATAATTCTCAGCATGAAAATTTATCTTTTTCCTCAGATCATGGCATGAGCTTAAGTAAGTCACAATTTAGAAATAATTTTCAATTCCTGTCTTGGCTGCATCCTTAACCAGATTTGCTGCACGAGCCCCAGTAGGACATACATTTTAATACCAGCATATCCCCATCACGTAACTAACCTCAGGTGAACTTTGGCTGGTACTTGCATCAGAAGGGCTGGTTGGCTGCTCTTGCACCTGAGGCATGGTAAAAGAAAGTTCGAGTGGCTCTGTGTTTGGCTCCAGCTTTGATACAACTTCTCTATTGAGTGCAGGATCAGCATTGCTACGAAGTGGCTTTGTAGTTTCAGAGGCAGGTAGTGGGGACATTGCCATATTTATATTCTGCAATTTCTCACTGGATGAGGGGAGCATTACATCGTTATACAAAGGAACTTCATCACATTGTTGTTCATCAGACTCTAAAAATTAAAAGAAACCATCAACCTAAGTAACAATACCATGTGTGTCTACGGACCTCATTAAATTTAAACAGCGGTTGAAATACCACTAGGCAAGAAACACTGAGGTTATTTTTTGAAATTTACTGTAAAATACTACCTCTACTAATTAGCATGCTTTCCAATGCAAATGCACACCCACCATTACTGCTGAAATCTAGAGAGATAATTGTGTCTCCAGCAGCTGGGGCCAGCACAGTTAAAGCATCTGGTTCCTGTTTAAGTTTTTCAAATAGGCTATTGGTATCATCCAGGTCATCTTTGCTGAATATTTTGGTCATTTTCATATCAGGAGACTCCACTGGTTTCAGCATACACTCAGTTTGTCCAAGGGAAAAAATCAAGTCCTTCTGAACAATTCCACTGTCAGACAGAGAGGAAGATGACTGTCAAAGAACAACTAGAAGGATTTAATTCAGGCTTAACAGTTTTGCAAGGTGAAAAAAACCCAAAACACAAAAAACCAAACCCACAACAAAAAACATCCAAAACACCACACCACAAAATTACCAGGACAGGAGCTTTAAGAATTCTTTTACTCATTCTTTCCTCAAATGTGATAGACAAAGCAAGCACTAATTGTGGTGCCATCAAAAAAGTAACAAAAATAGACATGCTTTTCTAAAAGCATCGAGAAAGTAAGAAAAAAAATTAGATATTTCCTAAAACACTTTTTTCTTTGTTTTAAATGAATGTGCAACACGTTGAAAGATTGATACTGGTACATTCACTAAATTTTTGAAAAACTAATTCAGGACTATTATACTGTTGCAGAAAAACAGTCAAGAAGTCTGCCTTCAGTTGAAGTTTTCAATTAAAACAGGAATTCTAAGGAAAAAGATGATTAATGAGATTAAGACAGACACTATTACTGCTGCTCTGACTCCATGACTAAACGTTATTTGTGAAATTAACTGCTGCATACAAAGATTAGAGAGTTGTCTAGAATGCACACAAATTCTCAAATGCTTCCATTGCAATAGCACAGAAAAGACTGACCCTACACTCATTTGCCTGCAGAGATCTTCCTACTGACATCTCCAGGTCAAAAACGTGTTTTGTTTTCAAATACAATTCCTAATCCTAGGCCTGGCAGTATTCTAAGCAAAATTTCATTGGTAGGAAATAGTAAAATTATAACATAATCAACAGGGGATCACATTCTCATCAAATTGAAAAAAAGATGTAGTGCCATCAGAATCTGACTGTCTTCAATAAAAATTACGACAAAGAATAGCGACGTCCACTCAACTTACCTCAAAACATAGTTTACGCACACTATGCACTGTGGCTGAGAATTCTTAGTGTTGTATATAACAGTTGCTTGAGTTTCAACCCAGACATAGCCACCTTGTTTAGCAAGCATTCTGTACTGTCCTGTTGTCACCTGCCCTTTTGTGAACACTACAAGCAGAAAGGACACCAGCTTTAATTACAGGCAGAAAAAACCAAAACCATTTAAAAGAAATATTCACTGCAGATTCATATCTGCAATTAAAAGAAAGCCTTCATTCTTCCGCTGCTTCACCCCAGTGCTGTATCACATCACTTATAGCTGGAATGTTTTAAATTCATCTTTTCACTTACTGTCGTGGTGTGTTTTGGTCAGATGATCAGAATCCAGGGCATGATAGTACTCATAAATGGAGCGACCCAGGAGTTCCTCTGGCTCATACCCCATCAGCTCTGTAATTCTTTAAAACAAGGGGAAAAAATTGTTAAGGAAAAGCAGACATGGACTAGCACAGACACTAGAGCATGTGGATGCTTGCACATCTAGAAAAATCCAAAGAGTCACTTCCATACACATTAGCAGCAATTTTGGTTTACTGGGAGTTTTAATGTTGAAATAAATTGCTATTTTTTTATGCTTGTTTAAAAGAGAAATTTCAGCAGGCATAGAAGTTTACTTCTCACTGAATATTTATAAATCACGTCCTGTGGTAGAGAGGATTAAGTAAATCCCTGCTTTCTAGACTTTTTTTTTTTGCTTAAAGCTAGACCAGCTACTTATGGACTAGAATATCCAGCTTACACAAATTTGAGAATTTAATAAAACAACAATGGCATGTTTAAACACTTTTCAACCTGCAACTAAGAGAAATTACGAATCAGATTCTTTCTTCCCACTGCCAACCCCAGCCAGCTTTTAAAGAAAACAGGATTTTCTGCAGCCCCCAGAGGGCAGTGCTAACCAGGGGAACGCATTCATCTTGCTCTATTCTACATGCAGAATGTGACCAAATAAGTACCTTTTGTGTGACACCAGCAGTCCTAGAAAGGGAAAGTTACTGCAGAGGACAGAAAATAACCTGCACTAACATCTCTTTGCATCTAACTGCAGCAACTAGAAGTTCATTTTTCTTATTAAGAAAACAAGCAGTAACAAATAATAGTCAATGAAGAACAACACACCCCAACCAACCCACCAAACAAACTAAAAAAAAAAAAAAAAAAAAACCAGAAAACAGCAGGCCAATGATGTCCTTCACTTCTGTTTTTCAAACTTGTCAAGATAAGTTTCCAGAGGATAGTAAGAGCAGTCTTAGGTATCTGACCACATCCATGATTTGTACCAGAACATAAAACCTCATTTTCAACAGCAGATGTATTGTATTAGAAGTACAGCTGAATTTTTAGTGTTTTTTTGGACTAGGGAAAGCAAACACTGATCTCCTGAGGAAGGGAGAGGGGGGAAGTGGTAGCAATAAAATGTGTCTGACAAGTGTCACACACATACTCTTTTCAGTCACCAAAATACACCACTATCTTTGACAAACCTAAAGTCTTTCCTGCTTTTATAGTGTCCAGAAGTATCTTCTCATTTCAATTTAATTGCTGCCACTACACTAAAGACCAGTTTGAACAGGCAGTTAACTGCAGGCAAAGGATTTATTCCAAAGTAATAACCTTACACCCTCTTAGATTTAAAAATTTGTTTTTTTAATTACAACATTCTGATCAGTTACTAAAAGCCAAAGCATCCCAGTGACAATTCCACTCTGCAGATCAATCACGTTAATGAGTAAGACTATGGAAATGTATAAGGCCAACACTAACGAACATATACCAAACCTGTAAATCCTTCAAATGAACTTTTTTTAAGTACTATATATATATATATATATATTACCTTTCATCACAATAGGAAAATTTCATGTCAAGACTGTGACGACTGAGGAACGTTTTACTGTCCAAGGGGACCTCAATGTTTGATGGATGAGGAATAGGTTCACAGATCAACACCAGACACGTCATGGGAGGCTTTTTGTAGCCACAGTGAGTCTGATTACCACATGTGTCGTACACACGAATGTGTCCAGTGCAGTGGAGTACCTATGGGAAAGTGAGGTTTTAAAAAGAGAACAGGTTCTTGCCTGTCAGAAAACACAATCGTATTTCCATTAGCACACCTGGAGCAAAGTCCTTCCCCTCCCCACCCCTCGATGTGATAGCAACAACAGAAAGGCAGCAGTGCTTTCAGACAGATGGCTGAAGGAGCACAGCAGTCATCCTCCTTGCACTATGCAGACTGCAATGAGGACACAGGCTGCCAGCCGTTTCCTCTTGGGCACTGGCTGAAGCAACGCTAGACATTTCTGCTTTCTGTGAACTGTTCCTTGGAACTTACATTAATGACGACACCGATAAGCAATTGCCTCAGCAAAAGGTATCTTACTATTTCAATTTGAAAGTTATGGTAATAGTAGCAACCTCCATTTTAGATCTTCTACAGCAGTGATGTTAGAGATCAAATATGTTCTTCAAAAGACAAGAAGTTTTGCATTTTGTGGTTTGCTGCTTTTTTAACCATTCTGAAGTAGAAATTGTTCACAGACAGCAGCAAAGAAGAAAGGACTTGTTTGATCCAGAAAAACTAAATTTAAGTTACAAAAGAGAACTGGGAGCCATAATACCGCTCAATACAGTAAAAGGTTACTTTTTGTCCGGAGGAGAAAATGCATTCACTGCAGAAAGTTACCAGGCTGGGCTCTTTTTGTTCCAACTGTTACAAAAGGGATAGCCAGCAGCTTCAGAATGAATGGTATTGAAGTCCTTCAGAGAGACCTCAACTGTTACATGTACAGTGTGAAATTAAAAGGAATCAGGTATCAGCATAAGTGGTGTCAAGTATTTTTTTTTTCTCAGAGGAGAAGGCTTTATGCAAACGTATTTAGTAATTATACTTTCTAGTACATAAATGACCTTTAATTTAAAATGGAGAATTCATTAAAATAGTTTTGAAAAACTAATTTTAAAACATTGCTTCAGTTACCTCCACAATGTAGTCAACATTAAAATACAGCATATTGAAGCACAATCATTAAATTAGTTAAGTACTTAGTGAAACTCCAGCTTGTTATATTAAGTAAAAATGTTGAAATACAGCGAGTTATGACATCTGAAGAGGAAGCTGCCAACCAAAGTAAATATTCCTTCGCATTAGTTACCTTCCATGTAGCAGACTTAATATTCACTGTTCTTCCCCTGCTAGTCAGTGTACACTTCATTCTGAGAAAAAAGCTGCGCTCCGTGTTTTGCTCTTTGTCCTTTTTCACAGGACCTAGCAAAAGCAAATAGTAAACCAATTCTTAAGCTCTGGGATCATCTTCCAAAGGCATAAAAAACCATGTTATAAAACTCTAAGACTAGGGGAAGACCCAAAAAATAAATGAAAAAGATAGATAAACCTAACAGCACTTTCAATAATAACACTTTTCAGAATGAGTTTTACTATGAGGTAGACAAAAAACTGAAGTCTCAATGCTTTAAGATCAGTGTAGTTCTTGTAGCCAACTCCACACTCACAGATTTCAGGAAAAAGGGGTAGGGGGAGAGAGACTGACTGAAAATTTTGTATCTTTTTGAATTGTGACAGGGGACAAGAAAAGCATATGCAGAATGAGAAGCACTGTTGAGTTGGTTTCCATTAAAATGCATCAGTAACTCACCACAGGGAAGTTCAAATCAAATACGTATTGGGCCCGTAGCTCTTCAGGAAAGCAGTTTTTTAAAGTTTTGAAATTCAGAATTAACAACTCTGCTGTTTACATACATCCAAATATTTCTACAGCGATTTATACCCTTAGAGCGAACAGGGACCAAGTTTTTAAACATTAGCACTCCTGGGGGAAAAAAAAGTCAAGAAATCCTAATACAGATTAGCAGCACTAATTTTTTAGCTTTACTTGCTAACAGCAGGCTTTAAGCAAAGTTTTTGCCTTTACAGGGGAGAACCTTTCAGAGCTGATTACTAGCTAGGCTATTCTGGGCAGAGAAAATGCAAACCAATCCTATCGGGAGAGCTGCAAGCAGCTCGCTGTGCATGCAAGAAGGAAATAAAGCATCTAGGATAAGCAGCAGTGGAAGAGCGAGTTTGCCAATGCGTGCTAAGGAGTGAGGACCAAATCATAGCATGGGGAGGAAGTTTAGAAAAGCTCACTTCCAATACAAGTTTATACAATAGCTTGCGCTCATCCTCCAGAGAGAACGGTAGCTATGAAATTCTTCATGGTGGCTTGCACTACAACTACTAGTTTGACAAAACTCATTAGAAAAACGTTAAAGCCCCTCTGCTACATTGTGTATTGCTTCTAGCAGAGGCAAAGACTAATGGGGCAAACCTACTTTATTCCACATCAAAATAGCCTCAATAAAGGCAGGGGGGCAGAAGCAGAGTTCAGAGAAGCAGCTAAAACTTATTTAATTCAGTATGTTTTTAAAAGAGTTAAACAAATCTAGAAATTCATAGTTGAAGATCACACGTTATTGTTACCAACTCCTGATGCTCCAGGCTCTGCTTTGAAAAGCAACTGTAAAAGATGGAGCAACTTTCTCAAGTCTGACTCAGCCTTGGACATTATTTTTTAAATCGCCAGCTTTGGAAGTTTAAAAAGCAACTTTGTGAAATCAGAATGCAGTTCAGTTTCTGCCAATCACATTTATATTCATTTGCACCTGTACAATCCTGAAGGGGAGTATTTAATACTCTATACAAAACCAAAATAATTCCACTGATGCAAGAGCTGCAGTAGAATGCAACCTGGGAATACTAATAAATATAAAAATGTACTATTATTACAGTACTTTAGACTTTTGTCTGCCAACTTCATTTGCGAAACAGATTTTGTAATAATGCTTTCCAGACATCTTATTCCAGTCTGGTCACTTTAAACAGACTAGAGTTGGTTTGCATGAAACTCAGTAATATGACATTTTTAAGAATAAGCTTTTGCAACAATGCTTTAGTGAAGTTGCTGCCCCACGCACCCCCAGATGCATTACTGTATTCCAAAAAGGGAAGTCTAATTTAGCCTTAGAAACATACTTCAATACTAAGGGCAGACAAGTTCAGAAAAGAGTTTACAAAACTGAAGTTGAGGCCCTTAATGCTATGATATCTTATCAGGTCTTTTCCACTGGATTAAATAGAATGACAACATAAAAAGACTTCTGATTTACAGTGCTACACGAAAGCAGAGGTCAGGCTTGGAAATTTATATCTAGACTCAGAGTCCACACAACTCTTGTTTGATGAAACAAGAATTAGAGAGGTCAGATTTTAGACTTCTAACAACTGAGTAAAGCAGATTGTTTGGAGGCCTGCAGGCTGTCAAATCTTTATAGTCATTAACAAACCTTTAGAAGACTTAAAAGCAGTAATTCATGGGCATTTGTTAAATTCAGAAGTGCACAGAATATGTGAACATGGTGTTCTACTCCCTCGGACGGAGAAAAGAAGAGTCAGAAATCTGTGAAAAGATACCAATTTCATGCACCAATTAAAAGGTGCGGAGAAGCATCAATCTCAAAGCCCTTTTTGGGGCTGTCCAAGTATTCCCCAATTAAGTTTTTCAGAGCCCTAATTATAGTATCTTTTTTGTGTCTTAAGTATACCACCACATATTTCTGGAAGAAACCATTTGCTTGTACGTTGTCCTGTAACAGCAAGCCCAGACCAAGACGAATGCACCAATTTTAACTTCTCCATATCCTTCTATAGCAATTGCTTAAGATCATTCTCATTCAACCGACCTTTAGTTTTATTCATGTAGGCACACTAATTCTTTCAACCCTCAATAACTCTATTTTAGCCATCAATTTTGTTCTAGATTAAAGAGTACTAATGAAGTCTCATCTCTCCTACAATTAGGATATTGCCAAAACATGCTGATTATTTCTGTTGTCAGCATCCCTGGAACAAGGTTTATTTTGAGATCTACACAGCAAAACATACAGTTTGTTCTCTCAACTCCTTTTTCTGGCAGATATCCAACTACACTAATGCCAGCAGGAACTATCCATAAGTAAATTAAATAGATCTTTTCTTTCTTCTCACCATTTCTGTGTGTAAGCATTTCTCTCAGCTCTTCATGGTCACATGGATGAGTGAAATCAAATACACTGTGCCCCGTCAACTCAAACTGCAAAAAAATAAGAGGTATAGAGGTGTCTAACTTGACATAAACAAAAGTGTAACAACTTTCACAGACTTGAAACATTCTTAGGAAACATCAGTATTTCACCTGAGTGAGTCCCATGCACTTGTTCACGTTTTCAGACATGTAAATCATGTCCCCGTCTTCAGACAGAACCATGACAAATCCGTCAAGAGCTTTCAAGTAGAAACAGTTCAGTTCCTTCTCCATTTTGGCTTCTGTCTCCAGCTCACCTGCAAGCAGGCAGACATTTTCATTTAAGTAAACATCAGCCATTCTTCACTTACCATCAGGAATGACTTCTGGCACCAGTCTTCAAGGAGTCAATCTTGCAGGACTGTTCAAAACCAGTATAATTTCACTTAGATAAATAATAAATTGAATTCTTCAAGCTTTAGTAATGGTATCACAAATCACAGAAAATCAGAGTGAGGTTAACCCTCTGTGCTTTTATGCAGAAACCAATAAACTTTCCACCTTAGGGAAAATAGTAATATTTTTGCTGCATACTTTTATCTCAAAAAGGCATTACAAACTTTGCCTCAGTGGCTCCCCAGGAGACATTTCAGAGTACGGCTACCAAAGTTACTCCTCCATACAGTAGGTAGGCATGCATGAGTACAAATAACCAGTACAGCATCTGCAGTATGCCATACAGATACTGGTTCATAAGCTAACTCAGATACTGTCACTGCAGGGGTAGGTGTAACTGCAGAGACTTGACATATCCTCAGCTAACTTCACCTTCAGTGGAGTAAAAATTACAAAAAAATTCCCTGCACTTTACATTAAGGAGAAACACCTACGGTTAGCTACGCCAGCCTTGCACCAACCACCTACGGTTTAGTAAAGCACAGCTGGAACAAACCACTCTAGGGGGAAGAAAGGGTTAAATTAAAGAAATTAACTTTGGGAGAAGGGTCAAATGAGACTGAAAATGGCACTATGGCTGTGATGAGCCAGCTCGGATCATCAGATTAGAAAGGGAAAAACAAAGTCCATTGAACAGTGGCCATATTTTTCCTGTGCCATCACCAATAGCTTATTTCTACTGTAAGGTCTTCCACCTTTCCACAAAAAGGATGCAACTGTTAATGTATCTAGCTGTTGAAGGGTTTTGGAAATAACTTCTTCCTCAATATACCTCTGACCCCTTTCCCAGATTCTGCTACATTATTCACTTACCAGCATCTAGCAGCTTTCTCATGCGCAAGTAGCTGATGGTCAGTCTCATAATGGATGCCTTGTCCAGGTGTGCACTCACGGTGTGGGGCAGGGGCAGCTGATGAGCAAGCTCGTAGAATACTTCAGATTCCTTGCTCCTCCGGCACCGGGCTGCATCTCTTGACTTCTCTTTTCTGCGTTCTGAGCTAATCCTATATCAACAAAGTTTGGTGTTAATACAGGAAACAGTTCCCTGTGCAAGTTAAATTTGAAACTAAGCTGCCCAGCAGCCAATTAACCAGTTAAAGTTGAATAATTTAAAATCTCTTTTAAAAGTGTAAATGTAATTCTGTGTATAGAGTTCTGCCATGGCTGGGTTCTGCCAGAACTAAAATTCAAACCCACAGGGCCTTCCAACAAGCTCAGTTCTTCAAACACACATCTATGTACTCAGAACTGTTCTTGAAATGCTTATCTTATACCTTGACTGCTGACTCTCTAGCCTCCAAATACTGTTTCCTTCCTCTTTCCTAACCCCTTAAATCCATTCAAAATCCTACAGCGCGAGTTATTTCCAGCTCAATGCTTCAGCAGTATCACGTACAGTCTGCAAGTTCTTCCCTTTTTGCCATCCTTACAAAGCCCACTTCACAGGTCACATAAGCAAAGGTATTGATTCAGCATGAGGTGCCTTGTTTTTCAAGTGATCCAGAACGTCCCTTTCCCAGCTCTCTTTCTCCACTATAGCCCCTTCCATAGTCTCCCCTATACTGGAAAACTCCATCTGTAAAGAAGTTGCCTCATTCTCCTTCCACTGCCTCTGTTAGACTCGCCTGCCTCAGGACACATGAAGCTCACAAAGAGCAAGCACCAAAACAACCCAGACTCCCCATCAGTTGGTAACGCAGATCGTTCTCCCTTTGCCCAGGACCCACACTGGTTCACGTTCATCTCGTGCACCTGTCACGCAAGTTTTGAACTAAGCACTTTAAGACAGGAGCTCCAAATTTTTCTTACATTTGAACAAGAACTCAGTGCTGCTGTGGTCCCCGAGGAAATTATGCCACTGCAGTTAAATGTGCTTTTGTTTTTGAACAGATGATACAAAATCATATGTTACTGTTGTCCCTTGTTTTAATACATGTCTGTCTTCTGAAGGCATCCTACCTTCAGTTTGTATACACCTGCAACACATAAGGCATTAATCTGTAGGATCCCATTTTTTCCATTGACTTTCATGAAAGTTGCAAGATAAACATACGCCTATAAACACTGCTTCTGTGATTCAAAGTTGCTTGACTTTTAATGTTACCATAAAGACATTAAGTGTCACTAGCTGAAAAAGACAGAAAATAAACCACTGCATTATTTACTACCAACAGTTCAGGAATTACTTTTTTCAAATTTCACTAGACTTAAGTCATGTACTACCGCTGCCAAATTCACATTGCTAAGTCTGCGGATCTGTGCAAAAGCACTTTTTAATTCGCAAACATCTTGTGAGAGGTACCACAAATGATAGAGGAGAGCGATTCACGAGTTGATAATTGCCTGAGAAGTAACAAACCAGACTAAATGTAAGTAGTCAAATACATATCCCAAAAGAACACATTTTCAGTCCTTTACCTGATGTGCTACCTACCCACAACCACCAAAAACCTGCTTAGTTTGTGTGGAAACATGCAAGCGACAATACTATTAAGACTGACACTGGAAGTGTGAATACCTTGAAACACAAAAGAAGTTTATTTAAGCTTTGATAAAGACAAAGCAAGCCATCAGAATCTATTCTACAATTACCTTCATTTTTTCCAACTTCATAAAACTGCACGGCACCCCCATCCATCCTCGAACCCCACCACCCTCTCCTCCTACCCCCTGCCACTGCCAGGAGAAGGAAGCGCTAGAAACTTGATTTTCATAATCCTAAGTTTTATAACAACTAAGAGTATGATTATGTTTTCTCCTTCAGTGGCAGAATCAGGCTGCTAGATCACAGAAATACTATTCCTATGTAATAAGAAACATTAATAATTCAACATAATAGTAATGGAGATCTTTGGAAAACTAACTTACGGGTATTACAGTAGTAAGAAATTCCAGACATACAATAATTCTATCAGTTTCTGTGAACATAAGCACAGGTTCCTCAGAAGGGTAGCCTAAAATATCTGATAATATTTCCCATCTTGCAGATTTCTTCGCATTCAATCTCCCTGTGACAACAGATGTTCCTGCTCTAGTCATGGATGTCTTGGCCTGAGAAGCTTGAGGCTCCTGACATACAGGTATGTCCGGAAACAGCCATTACGAGAAGTCTGACCTTCAACAACACTGAAAAAATATTTTAGCTCTACAACCCGATTGATTAAACATTTCTTATGAAGACAGGCCTCAAGTACCTTTTCTCTTGATGGAAAACTAAGAGTGGAGGTGAAAAAGCATCTGGATTCTCTTTGTCCGCTTTCTTGGACCACAGATTTCAGTGACAAAGGTAAAACAAGCAATTATGCTGCCTTAGACAGATTCACCTTTATACCTCTGATTTTCCTTTGTTAGCTACTCATTCAAGATCCCCTCACCTACAGAAGGTTCCTCCTACAATAGAAACTCAAGGGAGAATTACTAGAAGTAATTGGCTTCCATCTGCCTAGACGCCTGTAGTTTTGTCACGGCTTCCTTTTCAACTGCAGACACTTTTCGGTTAAAAACCCCATGCTTTGGCAATAATGCTGTGCGCTTCACATCTACAGGTTTGTCAGGCTTGTGTGAATCACAGAGTGCATGTAGAGAAGGACGCTACAAGAGAAGGACGCTCACAAGTTCCGATTTCAGCCCTTGTATTTTCTTTCTGAAAGCCCAATGTTCTTGAAAATATTTTGGCTAGTTTCTAGATTTTTGCCCGGTTTTAGCATGCTTAGCAGCAGACTGCAACATAAACAGTCAAAATTTCTCAACCATTGAATTATTAATTACCAGCTGAAACACTGCTCAAATCAAGCTCATAGCACTTACGTTAAAAATTAATCCCAGAGTAAGAGACTCTTGTGCTGCCTGACTTTGTGATGTGCAAAACCCAAGGGAAAGTGCAACGCTGGTACCAATCAGTGCTGTCCAAGCAGCAGAATCTCTTCCCCCTCTGACCAGGTATTTGCTTTCTAAAAAGGCTACTACTATAGATAGATATTTAAACTGTATAGCACAACAGTTTGCTATTTTTAGTTCCTGTTTAAAACTAAGCTGTAACCAATCTGAGTAAAACCCAGCAATTTAAATAGGAAGATTAACTACCAGCTTCAAAGAGCATTTCTTTAATGGATCAAATTAATAGGCAAAAGGTCTTTCATAAATTAGGTTTAATTACCAAGTGAAGTCAGAGTTGACTCAACATTGGATGCCACCAAATAATAAAAAAAGCAAAAAAAGAAATCCTTTACTGTTGCAACTACTCTAAGATTTGTTACTTTGTTGCACAAAGTAAATGAAAAAGCACACAATCACTGTGTGTACCTGCCCACAAATTTCTGTGCAGTCAATTAGAGGGTACTGAATTCCTGTAAAGAAAACACAACTGCCACTAAATCAGCTTAAATAAATTATAAAATGTAAGAGATTTTCAGAAGTGCCCATGCATAAAACTCATGGTCTTCACAACAGAAATACCATTCTGTAGAGGAAACAGGAACCCGAGCTCCATTTAAAATAAACCCCACACTTAAGAGCTGTATTGCAATCTTCTGCTACCAGTCTTGCATGAAAGGAAAAACATGGAAAGATTCATAAGAAAATCTCAGCTGAAGAGTGGACTGTATGTGCAATGAAAATATCAGAAATGCCGGTGCTAGACAGGAAATTGCAAGCATTTTCAGGTATGATGTTTCCTGCACAATTTCAGTGCCAGACATTCATTTCCATTTTGTACTTCTGCCATCAGAATACAGAAGTGGAGCGCAATCCAAAGCAGGCTATGCACCGCAGCTCACAGAAAGCAGTGTTTCACTGACAGTTTTAAACCCAGTACTGGGCACATTTTATATGTGAGAGATGTTCACATGCAATAGCTGAATAAACATCCGAGTTCCAAAAGACAAACGAGTTAGAGACCCAAAGCAAAAAGGTGTCTCACCACCAGGATTCACTGCAGCTAAACGCTGAGCTTGGCTGAAGGATATTACCCAGGCTCCCAATCACTGTCTCAAATCAAAAAGGCTTTAAAATACAGCAAGGTGAATATAAACAAAGTTTGACAGCAGGCTTTCGCAGCAAGAATTGGCCCAGCAGCCTTCAGAACAAAGCACGCCAGCAGCAGTCCCATGTGCCCCAGTTCCAGATGTTAACACGGCCTCTACATTCAAATGCACAATTCCTGTCATACGGACCATTTGGGTCACAGCGTCTCTCTAACGATACACTGTTCCTCATACCACGCCAAAGACCCCTCTGCCCACGACTGCGTATTTCTACAAGTGATTCTTTAATCTTCTAAATACAGCCCACAGTTTTCATCTCCTGAAGTGTAAAACCAATACTGGCCACATTTAAACCTGACTTGTTCCTGGCTTATTCACCACCAGTAACAAAGACCAAAAAGAACCCTAGAAAATGCCATCAGTAACTGATAAATTTCTATTAAAAATTACTACCTAGATTAGAAACGGTCAATGGACAGATCTTAAAATATGTAGCATGTCAACTTTGTCTCCTTCTAGTTTCTGAAATCATCACCCAGTGTCAAGAAAGGTTTTACACTGTGTATACAATGTTACATTAACACAGGTAATAAGGGAGCGGGGTTTTCCTGTATGTTGCTTTACTGCTGCTCTATTTTCTAGCCTTTCTCTCCATCTAACTTACTGTTTCTCTAATTAGGTAGATTTTTCTCTATAGCTGTTTTCAGCTCCCATGTAAAATAGGTATTGTGCATGTAGTAGTTAATCCAGGCTCATCTTTCTTGATCCAGGTTTTGAGCACATTCTAAAAAAAGTTATAAGCATCTTCTGATATTAATTCACATTTTTCTCTTTAGAATCGTTTCCTACAATTGAATGGCTTTCTATTTATCATGGTATCTGTTCTTAAACAGTTTCACAGAAGTACACCACATGGAATCAATATAATCCAAATGAATTATGTGCCTCAAATCCGGTAACATCTCATTACTGAACTTTAAATAGTTTTCAGTTCTGACATTAGTTTCCACTATTTGCCAGTACAAGATTTCATACACAGTACTTCCAAGTTAGATACAACCAAGACTGTAACACTAGCACCAAATACCTGGCTTAGAAACGGAGTGACAAAGACCACACCCACTATAACACAGCTTCAATTTTTCTTTATTACAGAAAAAAAAAAAGGACAAGATGCAGCTATTACAAGAGAATAATACATTAACAGTATGTGTCATCATGGTGGTATTGAAACTTAGGAAGTAGATCTGTAAGTGGCCTCCTGTTTATCTTTTAAGGTTGAATTAATTCCTGCAGTTGGTACAAAACTTGGTCATCTTTTCCTGCCTAGCCTAAAACAGCTGCTTCTGCCAGCACAGCTGCATGGGACAGAGATGCAGTTCCTTCCCCCAGTTTGCAGCCAGAACCCAGCAGATACACTGGTGTGACAATACCTATGTTGGGTAACTGGCTGTTGTTTATGGGGACCACCTGAAGAGCTCAACCATGGGCACGTCCATGCTGACCACTCTCACCTCTCAACAGAGCTCTACTCTATTGACTGTGCTGAATATGCAGTCATTTGATTTTCTCCGCTGTTTGTTAGATCTTTATTTTATCCAGAGCTGCTAGCCACAATACTCACAATACTTACTAAATTATTCTTCCATGGAAAGAAGACCCAGGCAAACCCAGCGTTTACCAGAGAGAATCCAGAATAGTATACCTCAACTTCCCTAAAGACGACTTCATATGAAAAAATGGGTTTATAATGTAAGAGAA